TTTTGTGTGTGTGTGTGTGTGTGTGTGTGTGTGTGTGTGTGTGTGTGTGTGTGTGTGTGTGTGTGTGTGAGAGAGAGAGAGAGAGAGAGAGAGATCTCAGATAATTAAGAGACACATCAGTGACACATCAGCAGTAGGTTACCATGTGATTTGAGTGGAACACTCCAAAAACTATTAAGTGCTTTCTTTTTCCAAGTAAGACAGTAAGGTACCTAATTTATTTCAATCTAAACACGGCAAGATATTTTAGGGAGTAGAAAATAAACAAGGGCTATTTTATCATCATCACAGCTCATTCTCTCTGGTTCTGAGTGTTATTTTAAGACCAGTATGTACAGTATTTCTGTATAATGTCCTGAAATACTAAAGTGATAAGCTTTTTTAAGGTTTGTGGGAGGAAGCTAGTCAGTGTCAGTAAAAAATTTCCTAGTGAAGAACACACATGTAGTATCAGAAGGAATGATGCAGCCCACTGTATGCTAGACTATACTCCTTGCCTGCTAATTTGTAGATTAAAAGTAGGGTTGGCTGAAAAAAGCTCCTCCATTGCTAGATAGCAGCATACCCAAAAAACTATTGATTGTGTGGGGTGAATTAGATGAAACTCATAGGGCGCATTTAACACATTCCAAAGATACAGTTGTGGAAGAGCCTACTCTTGAGGTTTGTTCTCCTGCTTATGGCGAAGGCAGAAACTTCTCAACGTTCTAAACCTGTATTTCATGCCAGTTTATGCAGTGGAATATAGTTGACTCTTAATGCTCTAGCTGCCAGTTCCTTCTTGCCCATGTAAAGTGAATGAGTTCCTGAGTGTGACTGTCATTGCCTTGCCCATCAAGCTCTTTAAAAAAAATGTAAACCAGCTCCATTGGAGGGTGACATTATTTTTGTCAACTAGGGCTTGCAGTTCCTGTTACATCAGGGGGCTTTGGTTTCCATTGTTCTCTACTTGTGCACTAGTGAAAGCTGTGCTTTGGGGCATTTTGTCTTTTTCTCTGCTGCTCTTCATTAATCTGAGGAGTATGGGGAAGCAGCAGCAGCCCAATAATGTAAAAATAAATGCTGCACTTTTGCCATATCCATCACAGAGAGGCAGGTTGCCATATCCAATCCTTTGGAATGGTGCATAGCTGGCTGTGCTGTGAGATTTGTTTCACTGCAGCAGTCAGGTCATTGATGGAGTGCATGAAATCTCTCTCATAACTCCAACGAGAAGAATAGTCTGGGAGGGCTTGGGGCCTTCAGTCCTGACTGATCCACAGTGTTTGTAAACATGTTTTGTTGACCTACTGCTTATGACTGAGACTTTGTGTTGTTTATTCAGGGGGCAGTACTAGCAGCAGTATCAAGCCACAAATTCAATTCCTTCTATGGGGATCCCCCTGAAGAGCTGCCAGACTTCTCTGAAGACCCTACCTCCTCAGGTAATTTCATTGAAAGCATATTTACCTTTCACATTGGGTTTTAAATCTTTACTAGCTTTAGTCCCATATTGTTTGCTGATTTCCCATAATGTCATAGAGCAGCAGCATGTATATTAGAGTTTGTGTGAGCATTTCAGTGCTATTCATTTATAGTGGTTCTACAAGGGAGTGTCCAGAGAATGCTTCTTCAGAATGATATAGAATGGATCCTCCTGGATTTTTATTGAACCTGACAGTGTTTCATTACAAAGGCTGGCATAACATCGTATCTATTTATTTATATGACTTGAGTCTGAGAGCTTTTTCAAATTGTGCCCTGTACCTTTAGTGGGCTTGGGGTGGTTCTGCCCTGCGAATGTTTTTCATTGTGTATCTTTGTATAAAGAGCTTGTTGGTCTCCTTTTCTGGAACTGGATTTAAAAAAAAAAAAAATCTCCTGTTAAAGGGTTATTGACATGTCAGAGGTGTTCCAGAATTTAGGTTTTGAGTAAATACGCTTTTAGAAAACATGAGACCAATAGAATTACTTGTGCTTTTTGTAAATTATCATCTAAACAAGTTTTCTTAACAAATAAACAATGGTTGCAATTCATGTGATTGCAGCATGTGTCAGTGTGACAGCATGAAAGCTTAGTATACTAGAAAATGTCTCAGGGAATTAATTATGTATTTTGGATTGGTGGGGAAGGGTGAGTTCTCATTCCCTGTCCTAACATTTCTATAAGGAAGGAGGTAGAGGGGGCTTGCAAATGTTAAGTATGGCAGAGAAAAAAATAGTGGAAAAGTAAATTTTTTAAATATTCTTTAATTTTGGGTTGGAATATTAAAATGTACGTGCCCAAATAAAAAGGTTGATTGTCAGATGTTTTAAACTCACAACTTTTTCAGTGAAGTCAGTAGGAACTTACCACTCATTTAGCTGCCTAAATATGGATGTGGGCACCTAACTCTAGGCACTCAGATTTGAACGTTTTATGTATTGTACAGAAGGGGATCTGATGTATCATTTTACAGAGAGATCTTTCCAGTGTGTTTGATTGGACATCAGTTAGGATTATTTGGCGTGTTTTAAAAGATACTTTTTGTTTCCCGCTGCTTCGTCAGGTCACAGAAGTAGGCCACATACATGTCTGCAATTTTTCTGTTACAGGAATAGCTAGGTTCCTCATTTCAGCTTCAGGCTTACATCAACAGGATGTCTCTCTTCCTCATTTGGGTTTGAGGTTGCAAATAAAGTCACAAGCACAGGTTCTCAACTTTTTTCTTCCAGGAACCATGTAGCCAGATATTCACATATGTGCTCTCAGACCTTTTGTGCTGGATCCTTTGGAACTTCCTATTAATTTCTGGAGGAACCGGTGCAGTAGTTTGAGTTCCTCTGGGAGGAAGCTGGAACAGGCTCCTGCTCCAAGACAACAGTTGTTGATCTCCTTGGAGGTTGCAACCCAAAGGTTGAGAAACTGCTCCCAAGGGATATTTTTATTGATGCCTGATTGACTAATTTAAATTGTTTAGTTCAGAGAGCTCCACTCAGCTAATTTACTTAGAATAAACATCCCGAGGCTTTCAGGAAAAGAACCATAGTGCAACTTTCAGCTTTCTGAAATAACTAGGCCAAATAAAGAACTAGATCTCCCTCTCCCCCTTCAAAAAGGCACTTCAATTACATATTTGCTGTGTTGTCAAATGTTTGAAGCCTGCTTGTAAACTACACCAGTTCTTAAAGATGGGATTTTTCAAAAGATCCTAAAGGAATTAAGCACCTGTCACAGGGTGGCTAGCCCCAATAAATGAAGTAGGTCTAGCTCCCCAAAGCCAAAGCAGGTGCACCTGTTTTTTAGAGGATGTGAGCAACCCAATGAGCAGACTGGGTTAGTCAGCAGCAGGTGAGAGTTGCCTGAGACCAGGGGATTGGAAGAGTCCCAAAAAGAAGTAGAAAGTGGTTCCTGGGAGAAAACTTGAAGGCAGGAGAGCAGCAGAGATTGATTTGCTGACTGTCATCCCCAAGCCAGAGAGCCAGGGCTGAAGGCAGGAGAAGCAGAGGGAGTTTCCTTCCAACCTGGAGAGCTAGAGCTGTGGACTGGAGAGTTCTGAAGGCACGGAAGCAGTGGACCCTGCTGACATCTCCGGGTTCCGAGAGCTGGACCCACAGGAACTGAGAGGGCCTTTGGGGAGTCAGGGATGCTCCCCTGGCAAGGGTGCTCTCAGTAGAGAGGCTGTGGGGTTCCTGCTGGGAGCAGCAAGGTTGCATTCCAGTTGGAAGTGCTGGGGAGGCAGTCCTGGTACAAAGACAAGAGAGGACTGTTCTGAAGAGCCAGGACCTGGTGATAGATGCTGGGGCGGTATTTTGCATGTACTCTCTGGACTATGATGGGGGGAATCTGGACTATAGTTGTGGGACTTTTGTTTTGTTATGTGCATGGGGCTCTTGCAATAAATGAACCCCACAACTAGTTGAACTACTTCTGGGCACTCTGAAGGAGGGAAACTGAGCAGGCATGTCTGTCATGTGTATCCTGAGGGTGTTCCAGGTGGGGCTTCTCTATGACAGCACCCAACTTCCATTGAATTTCAGTGGGAGGTGGACATCTAACTCCCTTGGGCTCCTCAGTAATTCCCAACCTAAATGGTTATGCCTTTGCATTTTGCAATAATGGGATTTCAGATAAGAAACTCCAAGTTGAAGATTTAGTATTTAAAATGCCATTTGCCTGTTTGTTTAGCTCTTTGATAAAATCCCATGATTTCAGAAGTTTGTCATTTAAAAATAAATGATGGAGTAGGCTGAATGATTCCGAGACAGCATTTGTCCTGGATTCCCTGTGGTACCACTCCACGCATGCCCAAGGCTTAGGAGCAGTGCCAGCCTGTTCCGCCGGAAGGGGCGCGGGGGGAGGGCCGGAGGGCAGCTGGAGCTGGGCAGTAGTAAGAGCTCTCCGGGGAGACTGGGTCACTATGGGAAGCTCCTGTCCCTCCATCTGCCTGGGGCAGTGCACCCTCGGGGGTGGGGACACAGGCTTGGGGCTTCCCTCAGGCACCCCGGCACCCCACCCAGAGCAGGTGGAGGGTCTGGGGCTCCGCACAGTGACCTGGAGGGGGCTCTGGCTTCTGGCCTGGCATGGGGACAGGGCCTCAGAGTGAAGAGGTGGAGCCAGGGAGCAGGGTCCCTGCATGTGTCCCACTTTTGCCTTTTGAAAAGTTGGTCACCCTATTTCAGCTCCATGCTTCATCCACTTCAATCTGTCACATTGCTCTCCCTTCCGTGAAGATGGGCCCTACTACAAAGGTGAGGGGGCACTTTGAACTTCCACCCTATACTGATGGAGTAACAGCCTCAGAGTTTAGGGCACTGTATTCAACAAATAGGCAATTCTCCAGTAGATGCTAGATTACACTGGGTGCTGTCCAGTGATCAACGGCAAAACATATAAGTGAATCAAACAGAAATGAAAAGGGAGATGCTGCTAATTTTATATGGATTATTTTCCCCCACTTTAAATCTCCCTTTCTTTCCTGCTCACTGGAAGTTGCACTGGGTCTTCAGCCAGCCAGACCACTGATCATACATGATCATTTCCCTAGTGTCCTGTCCTATTTGGGAGGACTTGTTCTCTCCTTCATCAGCATGTTTCCTCTAATGACAAGATGCAACAGATGGATGAACCAAACAATACAAAAGTCATTCAGCTTTGTAGGTTATCTGCAGCTTGCCACTTGCCTAGCTGTTATCAACTGAGTATTCTGTGGGTAAAATTGCAGAAGTGAGTCTTGACGAATTTGAAGGCGAATAATAAAATAGTGGCTTTACAGATTTTTCTGGGATACATGTTAAATTAAAATGCCTCCTTAACAGTGAATATTTTACATTTTTTACATTCAGTAAGTCCTACTAGAAATAAAGCAAGCTTCTAAAATTAGACATTTTATGACTGTTTCTTATTCAAAGTTAAGGAACATATATATTCCTAATACTTAGCACCTTCAAGATGTTATGTGAGAATCCGTGTTCCAAAAATAAAAGACCCTTGCACTAACAAACATTAAAACCTTGTTTTTCTTTTCACATGATGTTGCTGCAATAAGAAGCAGTTCATTTCTGCTGAGTTAACTTCCTCAGTCATCTACTAGGTGGCAGACCAGAGAAAGGTCATGGAACTGCTTGAACAGCTGTTAGCTGTTTGAGGGGGAGGGATAGTGCAGTGGTTTGAGCATTGGCCTGCTAAACCCAGGGTTGTGAGTTTAGTCCTTGAAGGGGCCACTTAAGGATCTGGGGCAAAATCAGTACTTGGTCCTGCTAGTGAAGGCAAGGGGCTGGACTTGATGATCGTTCGGGGTCCCTTCCAGTTCTATGAGATAGGTATATCTCCATATATTATATTATTATTATAGCTTTGGAAGCTGAACTGGAAAGAGATTTTGCTGATGCTGGATACTTAAGTCTTTTACCTGAATTCAGAATCTCAGGGTTTACGCCCCACAATAAGCCCATGTGCTTAGCCAATAAATAGAAAAGCCCATAAAGATAACAATATCAACTCTAACTTTTTCACTTCCAAACACCTTTTTGTAGCCTGACTTTCAGAACTGTTGAGCAACTACAAAACCCACTGAAATCAATGGGTGCTCACCGACTTTGAAAATCAGGTAATTGATTTTTAAAGAAAAGCATACTTTATCTTTTATTATGGAGGACTTATAAATACACATTTGAGCTATTCAGTTGTAGTGCTCATGCACTGTGAGGGTCATTTGTCGTTTCACGGTGACTTCATACTTTGTTTGCAGTTGTGTTGGCCCCAGGACATTAGAGAGACAGGGCAGGTGAGGTAATATCTTTAATTGGACTAACTTCTGTTGGTGAGAGAGAGACACTAATGACTTCATATTTCATTATTAGTTATTTTTGTCCATTTCACATACTACTGGATTTTCGTGCAAGACAATTTACAAATGTTGCTTTTAAACCACAAAGAAGGTACAGCAGCATGTATCTAAAAGGGTGATTGACCAAGTGTACACGTTCAGCTTGCACTATACTGCTTTTCGCAGTATTTCCTGAGTATCTATTTGCCTTCTGAGGTCTGTGGTAAATGTTTAACTGAATGCAAGCAGCAGTTTCTCACAGAGCATAAAGCTGACATTTTAAGACCACATCAGTGTTTTTGGATCCTTTGCGTAAATCGCATGACAATGGCTTCATATAGGTTTCTGTTTATAAATGCAATTTGAAAATGACTTTTGCCTCAAGATTATTGTGGGTAAATATTTGTTCTTTTAGAATCTATTATGTCATAGTAAATTATAGAAATTTAGCAATATTAACTCTTCATGATTAAAGTCTTGATAATTAAAACTGAAAGGAAAAGAGAAAGAAAGCCAAACCTTCCAGCCCGTCACTGTGGGAGAGAAGGATAAATGGTTAGATTTAGGCTCCAGTGCTGCAGACATGCATGTGAGTAATTTTATGCACTTGAGTAGTCCCATGGAACTCTATGGAACTACTCATTGCATAAGTGTTTCTAGGCTAAGGTCTTAGTCTGCAGTTCAAATACTAGTGGTCTCCATCATTACCAGGTACAATATAATATAGTTAGCAATGCTAAATCATCATCACCAATTTTTCAAATTCTTTAGTTAACAATTTTTTAATCATCAATGTTTGAAAAATTCAGGTGATAATAGTAAATATAATATTAATACAATTACAAAGTCTGACTGTCTTTTCTTGCCTTACTTGCTTCTGTGTACCATAAAAAGTTTTGAAAGGAGAAGGAAATCATAGAAATTGAAGGAGAAAGTGTAACGGTTCTCCACTCATTGAGAATTTTACTTGATCTTTTTTCTGATGTCCTGTACAGTATAAATGTTTGTTAGGATTTTCATTTTCAGCCGGTGTCCGAATATAGGAGTTTCAGATACCTGACAGTGTGCAAATGTGCTACCTGCCCCAATCCCAAATGTTTTTTTTTCAAGTGCCATTTGTCTCACATACAAAGTTTAAAAAAAAAAAAAGTGTTGAGTTTGTTCATACTATTTGTGGCTAAATTAGTGTGCCAAGTTGCAGCTTTATAACTTGCTTGTTCTGAAATCTTCATACTGTTGTTGTTTGTCCAAATGCTGCCTTCCTACTAGGACTTCTAGCAGCAGAAAGTAGGTATCCCTTTGTTTTCCTCTAAGGCTTATCATTCTGTTTTAAGTGTGTGGCTGTGCATGTTTAAAACTCAGGTTTTTTCTCCTTAGCGTGTCATGCTTCAGTTTTAATACTGCCTGCAGAAGAAAATTAGAACAGCCCATGCATATGGTAGTAACTCTGTCCATAACTTTTCAAAGCTGAGCAATCAATATTAAAATTTATTCCCAGTAAAATGTGATATATTAATTTAGAGGCAGTATTAAAAATTGTTAGTATTCTTTGTTTTTAGTATTTATTATAATATAAAATCTAAACTCTAGTTTACAACCCAAATAAAAATGCCATTAAGTGTTATTAAGAAAAGGACAAAATGTCTAACTTTTGTAGCTTGATTCCCAAATTATCAGGGAATACTGGATTTTTCCCTGAATAGCAGTTATTTATTATAGTACTAGACCTATATTTTTAAATGACATTTTTTACTGACTTTGCATGATAGAATTTTTTGTTTTGTTTTATGTTGGTGTGTTATGTAGTATATGTAGATACATTTGTGTATATGTATAAAACTAATCTGCTATGTGCCATATATGTTTATATAAAAAATCATATCAAAGAACGGGGAGGGTTTTTTGTGTTAGGAATTAACTGCATGCTTTGAGAGAGACTGAAACCCAAGTGCCTCCAGAACCTGCAAATAGATGATATTGGTCAGAACAAATAAGTTTTGCAGGGATGAGGGAGTGAAGTTCTAGTCCCTCTGAGTCACTGAGAGAGTGGTTCCAACCCAAACCACAGCAAATTCAGAGGGAACAAATTCCAAATCTCAAATTGCAGTTAAAAATGTTGGTGTCAGCACAGTATTAAAATGTTGGGGTCATCAATTATTTTTGCTACCTAACCAGATTTAGATAATGGTCTTATGCCCCAGTTTCTCTAAACCCACTCTCTCATTGTGGATTTTTTTCCCCCTGAACTGACCTGCCACACTACTTCAGAGTTCCCAGACCTCTGTTAGCTTCCAAGCACCACCCGCACACAATGCAGGAAGGAAGAGAAGAAATCTCTTGGTTCCCCACCACCACCACATATTTTGAGTGGAAAGGCTGGTAGAGATTCCTCCCCCAGCAGCCAAACAGCCGGGAGAGTGGCCTTCCCTCCAGCAAGCTAACAGGAGTGAGAGCAAGACTACCCTCCCAGCAGCCAGAAGGGGGAGCTCATTTGTGGCTGCAGTAGGAAGAAAGAGGCATGACTTCATACAGGGGATGTGGTAGGAAGGACTTGTTTAGAATAGTTAAATCAACATTTTATAAGTAACTTTGCTGCTTGTGGCTGTGCTGCTTGTTAATGTGTGGCACAGCTGTGAAAAGTGATTGTGTATAATGCTGCACCTTCTAACCCAACATATCGACTCCCTCTATGTCTCATGCTATCCCTGGGTGAGTCATCATTTAGGGTCAGATTTAAAGTAAAAAAAAAAAACTAGCAAGACTTAGTGGAGAGGCCCTGCATGGGTCTCGCAGAGAGGAGGAGAGCCTAAGATTTTTTTTAAATTAATATATTTTTATATCTTTAAGATAAATGTTTTTTTTTCTTTTTGTTGCTTTAATTCCTTTCTTCGTGTCTCTTCATTCATTTCTTTTATCCCTTCTCTTTCTCATTTGTGTTCCTATGATCATCATATTTCTTTATCTCCTCCTTTCTATTTTTATACTCAGCTCTTCCTGTATTCCTACTGCTACCTATTTTCTTCTCCCTTTCTCTTCATTTCCTCCCTCATCTCTTTCCTTACATTGTCCATGCTCATCTTTCTCTTTCCCTTCCTGAGTTCTCTCCATCTTCCCCAACATGTCCGTTTTCTCTTCCTCATTCACTTTTCCCTCTCTGCCTGCTGCTCCCCATGTTTCCACCTATCATTATTTTTCATCCCCTTTTTTAATTTCAACCCCATGCTGCTTCTCAACACCCCTTATTACTTGCCTCTCCACCTTTTCAACTTTTTGTCTACACTCCCCATGTAATATTCTTCACATACACTCACCCTCTGTCTACCCCTTTAGGTCTCTCCCCACGCTGAACCTTGTGATTCCCAGTCATTTCATTCTATGACACCTTCTCAACAGCAACTACACAACTACAGTATGTGCTGTGTAACACACATTTATGATACCTCATCCCATGGCCACTATGCGCCTACACCTGCCATTTGCTCACCGTAGAGTCACTCCGTGCACTTACACACACAGCTGCTGTAGAGTGAAGATCCCTCTTAATGCCACATAGTGAGCTGATGCTCCACACTGTCTTTGAGCTCCTGTGAAGTTCATAGGCCAAGCTTACAATGAAGAAGAGGAGGAGATAGTGATGCTGAAGATCCAGATGGGGACTCAGCTGTCCCCCAGCTAGTTTTATCTTAGGGTAGGTCTACACTTACCCGGTAGTTTGACGGCGAGCGATCGAACTTCTGGGTTCGACTTATCGCATCTTGTCTGGACGCGAT